TTACTACATTTTAAGGATAAATCCTAACCTCATATAAAAAAAAAGATTTTTAAACAGTTCCAGGAAAAAATAATAGGTTGATCTTAAAATTATCTTTTCCCTAAGAATGTAAAATAGCAAAAATAAAAATGAGGCTATACTATTAGTCTATAAACCTAATACAATAGAATCCATTAAAAGTTGAAGAGACTTGAGAGAGGATGCTAATTTCCCCTGTGGTGCCACAGCTTTTTAGAAATGCATTCAAAGCTTCACGGCGTGGTCTGGAATTGATTACATTAATCCATTATCAATTCAGTAGTCTTTAGGAAATGCTTATAGTGGATTTTTAAGGGACAAAGTCTCCTCTCGGTTATGTTTATCCAATCTCATCAGGTTAAACATGTGTCAATGAAAGCAGATTTTGGCCAGTGTTCTGGTAGAAAAATATTTGAGGGCATATAAGTACAATTCTAAAATTTATTTGCAAGCATTATTTCATCTGTGCTTGCAAATCATATATAGCCTTGACTTTTCTTTATGTATCTTCTTTTTGTATGGACAGACAAACAAATTATACTGAGTTAAAGATGGAGACATACCCTGCACATCAGCTGTTGCACAGTAACTAGTTTGTGTGTCCACTCTCCTTCTGATTTAAGTTGACATTGAACTGAAAAAGCTTACACTTTAATGGACTTCTAGGTAAATCCAGGCTTCTGGGTAGAAAGGAGCCTCATAGGACTTCTAAAGTATGTTTAATTTTTATTGCGTGTCTGTTAAGCTGGTTACCTATTTTGGTTGGGGATGTAGCAGCTTCTTATGTTCTCTTATTCTGCTAGCATTCTTGCAGTGTTTCATGCAGGAGCAAGCTATTCATATTTAGCATCCACTTACTGTGGAAGAGGAGCAGCGGAGCAAAGCAGTTACTTTGGAAGAGCTGATGCACAGTAAATCCTTTCCCCATCTTTTAACTCAGAAATTTGTTCATTTATTCATAGAAAATATAGCTAGAAGGGATCTCCAAATATCATCTAGTACAACTCCATGCTTAAAGCAGAATCATCCTTGTTTCTAAACCATCCCAGGAAAATATTTGTCTAATCTGCTCCCAGCTTTGTCTGTTGATTTGCCAACTTCCCACATTTACCTCTGTGTGTTTTTCAGTGGGGTCTCTTACATGTTCAGTGCCATAGCAAGGGGTGGGGGGGAGAGCAGGGTGACAGCCCCACACACCGAAGTGAAGGGGTGCCAACAGGTGCTGCCCAGCCAAGGCGGTACATGGGACAGAGCCACGACAGTAACTGCTTGGTTTGGGGGGATGTGGGTACAGAGGAAGGGTGGCTCCTGCTGCTGCATGTACTCCTGGGTAAGCATGGGGAGGCGAGTACCCCATGGATTTGTGCACTGGGCGAGGGCAGGCTGCCGCTGCAGGCTTTGCCCCAGGTGGCAAAATTCATTGCTATGGCATTGAACATATTATATGATATCCGTAGGCCCATGCTCATACACTTTCTATATTTAAGTCTCTGTAAAGATTCATTTCACATGCTGTTCACAGTGAATGAAGTTGACCTCATAAACAATATATGGTTTGTCTGATATTGGCTATTATCTTGCTTCTAACCTCTGTGTACTATCTGTCTTTAGTCTATGAATACCTTGGAGCAGAGGCTGCTCTTAAGTATTTGTAAAATGTCTAGAAGATGACAAGCCCTATCACTGAAAATAACGCATAATTATAATAAACGTAAAATATAAATGACAGATGATTTGGATGGTTTGATACATTTTTAAGGAGGAAGCCTCCATGGACTTAACCTGAGAGATTTTGGAATTATTTTAAAAATTATTTTGAAATTCTTAGTTAATAGTATACACTTGACCTATGTGTTATAAATTTAACTTACTTGTGGTTGGTATTTTGTCTTGTCTGAGAGATGCTTTCTTCTATTATCTAATACTTGTTGTTGTGCCCTTGTAACAAAGTATAAGAAAGATATGTGAGATTTTAAATATCTTGGTCATACATCTCAAGAGATTAGTAATTTTGGCATTGAAATAAACACATTAAAAAAGCCAGATTTCCCATGATATCCTGAGCAGTCACCATCTGAAACTTGGCTGCTTAAATCAGTAAGTTGGGTACTCATTTACCGAACAGTAATACTCTAACGGGCACCATAGGAACTGGTGGGGAAACTATTTAAAACCCTAAAACAACCTGTATCTTTTCCTGCTG